TATTTCGGCAGACCTGTGCCCGTAAACGGAACGTCGGGTTACTGTAGCACACTTGCACTGATAGCGACGAATGCAGCATCGGTCATCGATCAACTGACAAGCGGCGAAGCGTGTCGGCATTTGTACCTTTGCGATCGAATATTCTAGCGTTATCGCTAGCAGCGACTAAGGTTCCCGAATAATCTGTGACGATCCCGAAGTGGGCGTAATCTTAACAAAACTATCTACTAAAGCCTCGAAGCTCCTCGAATATCGTAGGCACGGTTTGCGCTGATTGTAGTGTAACGGGGTGATAACAAATCTTGAGGAAAGGAACATAGCATTGCCCCCCTATGAAAAAGGCATCGTCCTGATGCTTTAACAAAAGACAAAGGTACAAAAATAAACACAATTAACAATAACTACAGCAACAACATAAAAATACAGTCCTCAGATTCGTACATGGAATGGCTTGAGGCGCACGGCATAGACGACTTCAGGTCGAGCACAGCGCCGTTGATAGCTCGTAATGCCGTCGGGAACAACCTCATAGCCGAGTGGGCCAAGACGTCGAACTACTCTGTACGGTTCGAAGTACCGTCGCAGAAGTTTTTCACTGAGCCCACGACGGCGTATCGCGTCCCTACCCGGACACAGTTCTCAGGCTGGTACTTAACGAAGCTTCGTCGAAGATTGAAATGGAGGCTGTCGGTCACTTGCTAATTTTTGAAGCACAAGCGAGTGAGTTCATGAGCTTCTTCCGCACGCTGAAGGTAAGTGGTGACGCCGAGGTTTTCTTCATCAGCGATGTTTGGAAGCATAGCGTCAAGCGTCCTTTCCGGGCTCCTTCCATAGACCAACTTGTACGGTGTCATCTGCGTCATTTCTTGGACGGCTGTATTGTACGCAAAGGTCACGTACGGAAGGATTTAATCCACAATCTTGTGCTCAACGCCGATGTACATAGCCAGCATATCAGCGATGGTCTTACTAAGACGTTTGGTGAGGCTGTTGGTCTGTGGATGGTAGGCGGTGAGGCGGCGGTGACTTGTCTGGCTGTACCTCAAGATCGCCTGAGTTAGGTCCGCCGTAGAGGCTGTACCTCTATTAGTAATGAGGACCTCTGGAGCTCCGTGCCACAGAACAACGTTCTCGACGAAAAACCTTGCTACCTCGGAGGCACTGCCCTTGGGGAGGGCCTTTGTGTCGGTGTAGTGTGTGAGGTAGTCAGTAGCTACGACGATTCACTTGTTCCCAGAATTTGATGTCGGGAACGGCCCCAGTAAGTCCATGCCGATTTGCTGGAACGGCTGGCGTGGTGGCTCGATGGTCTGGAGAAGTCTGGTTGGCCTAGTCAGTGGTGTCTTTCGTTGTTGACAGTCGCGGCAGGTCCTGACACAGCGAGTGACGTCGGCGGAAAGTCATGGCCAGTAGTACTTTTCTTGTATTCTTGTGAGCATACGGGAAACACCGAGGTGTCCAACCATCGGGTAGGGCCTTGAGTACTCTTGATGTCACTGCTGAAGGAAACATGAGAAGGTGGTCGGCTTGAAGGGGCGTGTTCTTTTTTTAAGAGACCTCCGTTTCGCAAAAAGAATGACTCCAGTCTTCTCTTGAAAACATTCAAAACAGTCGTGCTGCTACCGTTGAGGTATTCTACAAGGCTTCTGAGTTCCGGGTCAGCTCGCTGTTGCTCAGTGAAGTCGTCGGCAGTTATTGTTCCTAAGAATCTCGTCTTCATCCAGGCCGTTGGAAAGCGGTGCTCGACCGGGGCACGAGACAAGCAGTCGGTTTCAGAGTGTGTTCTTCCAGACTTGTAAACGACGGTCACGTCAAGTTCTTGAAGTCTGAGGCTCCATATTGCAAGCGACCCGAAAAGTTTTAGCTAGCCAACACAAGGCATGGGGGTCGCTTAGAACTTTGAAAGGCATGCCATTGAGGTAGGAGCAAAACTTTGACGCTGCCCAGATAATGGCAAGGCTCTCCTTTTCTGTTCTGGAATAGTTGGCCTCGGCCTTGGATAGCGACCAACTAGCATAAATGATGACCTTTTTCACGCCGCCAGTCCTTTGCACAAGAACGGCACTGAGTCCTACGCTGCTTGCCTCGGTGTGTACTTCTGTTTCGGCGTATCCGTCGAAATGCCCAAGTATCGGTGATGTTTGGAGGCATCGTTTAAGTGCCTGAAATGCTTCCTCTTGTGTCGCTTCTCACCTGAATTCGACGTTGTTTTTCGTGAGGTTAGTTAGCGGCTCGGCAATCTGTGAAAAACGTTTAATCAAACACCTGTAATAGGCACACAATTCGTGGAATTGGCGTACAGCCTTCTTGTCAGTGCGCTGCGAGAAATCAGCGATGGCGAATGTTTTCCACAGGTCAGGACAGACTGCGGACTTGCTTATCACATGTCTCAAGAACAACGGCTCCTCGTACGCGAAGCGGCACTTTCCTGGCTTCAGGGTTTATCTAGAAGTGTTGATAGCTTGAAGTAACTTCAAGGCACCAGAGATGTTTGTCGAAGCTGGAGGAAAACAGGACGATGTCATCCAAGTAAATGAGGCAAGTCTGCCATTTCAATCCAGCCAGCACCGTTTCCATAATATGCTGGAACATTGCAGGTGCCAAGCAAAGACCAAATGGCATGACCTTAAACTCGAAGAAGCCGTCTGGTGTGATAAAGACTGTCTTCAAGCTCTCTCGTCAACCTCAATTTGCCAATAGCCCATTTTGAGGTTTATCGAAGAAAAGTACTTCGCGTTGTAGAGACGGTCCAGTGCGTCGTCTATACATGGAAGACAGTACACGTCCTTTGTGATTTTGTTCTGGAGGCAGTAATCGGCGCAAAAACGTAGGGTCCCGTCCGTCTTCTTCAGTAATAACACGGGTGATGCCCACGGACTCTTGGATGGCTGGAATGATGTCATCGCGTAGCATTTCGTGGTCTTGTTTTTTCACGACCTGGCATTCGCGCGTCGAGACTCGGTACGGGTTTTGTCGAACTGGTCAGGCACTTTCTTCTGTTATGAAGCTATCAGTGCAAGTGTGCAACTGTAACCCGACTTTCTGTTTACCGGGCACAGATTTGCCCAAATAAACAGTTTCATCTGACCATCCAGTACCCAGCACTTCCACCACATGTCACGGGGTCGTGACGCGGTTGAAGGCAGGAGACTGGATGGTCAGATGAAACTGCCCACCTGGGCGAACCTGCGCCCGGGAAAAGCAAAGTCGGCTTACAGCAGCACACTTGCACTGACAGCAGCGAATGCAGCATCGGTTGTCGATCAACTGAAAAGCGGCGAAGCGTGTCGGGACTTATACCCTTGCCATCGAATATTCTAGCGTTATCGCTAGTGGCCACGTAGGTTCCCGAATAATATTCCCAGTGATATTCCCAAAGTGGGCTTAATCTCAACAAACTGATCTACTAAAGCCTCTAAGCTTCTCGAACATCGTAGGTGGGGTTTGTGCTGAACATGGTGTAACGGGGTGATAACGAAACTTGAGGAAAGGAACGTGGCAATATAATGATCTGAACTGGCACGCATGTGTTACTAACATTATATCATTGGTGAACAAGCCTTCAGGCTTCCCGAAACGTCACCTTCGGCATGGCCCAAAGAATGTCAAGCTGCTGGCCTACAAGTCTTTTATCCGGTCCAAACTGGAATACGTAGCCGCAGTCTGGAGCCCACATAAAGTTTACTTAACCGACTCACTCAAAGCAGTTCAAAACCATGCCATCGGTTTCATTTATTCTTCGTGTTGGTATAACACCAGTGTATCATCGCTGAAATACGAATCAGCTGTTTTAAACCTTGTCTACTGCCATCGCATTTCCAGTGTGCGCCTTTCTAATAAGTTTTTTCACAGCTTGCTTCATCACCCATACATAACTCCACCGGTGCCCATATATGTCATCCCACATTGTCAACCACTTCAAGTTGCATGACCATCTTTGCTGTGTCACTTTTTATACGAACTGCAAAAGACTGTATTAACCTTCCTCATAACGTCATCACCACTGCATGCCCATAAACATTTTACAGCAAGAGCTGCTATGAGATCACAACATGGATCATATGCAGCACTATAGTTGTCCAACGCAGCCGCCAATGTCTCTAACCACTATCGGACACTGAGAGTGGCACACTGAGCACGTGCTTCTGCATCCTCCTCCTCCTAAAAGTTTTTGTTATGTTATACAGAGTCCAAAATGACCGTTCGCCTGCTTGGTCCCCACTTCAGCTTAATGAAGTGCCCCCTTAACTCCTCTTTCGAAAAAACATTTTACCTCTGGCCCTGCTCCAAGCAGGTGAGTTCCACTGTCAAATTCGAATATTAATGTGAAAAGACCCTTTGTACTTCTCAATTTAGAGCTCTCAGACCAACTTTAGAACATTCAGTGAACTGTTGATGCTGCGTGAGAGCAGCACCTCCCAGCAGCCAACAGGGGGTTCAACTTAATCAAGTAATGTCTTTCCGTTCACAAAAACAAGAAGGGATTTATTTCAGGTCAATTAAGAAAAGACGCTGCAAAAGCCTGCTATAAATTTTAGTAATGGGCTAAGCTTTGCCGCAGTGCATGGGCCAAATAGTGTCCTCACCCCTATTGTAACAGCACTTGCTGAAATGTTGTTCATAACCGCTGCTGGTGATTGACGTCTTTCGTAACCATGCTGTCGAATACATTCCACATGTACCAGTGGAACTATTCCATACTACTGAGGGAAAGTGAAATGATCGTCACACAGTGATGCGCTCCTCCTCGCCCCTCCCCTCTCACGGAGTTTAGGTAATACGGACCCATTTAGCTGGATTATGACTGCCGGTTATAACAAGTTATAACAAGAGTAGACTACACATTGAGACAACTGGATTCAGCAAGAATCTACAGGGTAGCAGTGCATGGGCTTTTTTTTTTTGAGACAGGCTAAGGTGTCAGTGCGACTGGTAGCACACTCTCAACAATGTCTCTTGATAGATAAATTCATTCTGAAAATGCCTGTTAAGGGTCTCACCTTCCTGACGAAGAAACTCAAACACCAGGCGGCCCATGAGGCTCCCAAAGGATCCATACTGCAATGCCCTGCAACATCACAACAAGGAGGACACAAGGAGCTGTTGCACTTTTTAATCAAACGAGCTGAATTAAGAGACGGTCACGAGTCGTCAGCATCCATGGAGAAATAAGGTGGCCATAACAATGACAAAGCAGTGTGTGCCTTTTTGACCCAGCAATCAGTGCACAGATCAGACGAAAAAAAAGCAGTGCCAAAAAGCAGCAAAGCTCAAGTTGGAACCAAATACAACTTATTTAGTATGCGGGTAATATTTTTTTTAATGTATTGTTTATCCCTGAGTCACATTCCTTTAGGAAAGTGCCTTCTAGTAATGACGTCGTCCACGAAGAAATCGAGTGCGTGAAATTATTTTAGGAGCTATCTTCTTTACACAATTCAAATAATTTTAATCATCTGAGCTAACTTATGCTCTCTTGAGAAAGTGCATTAAAAAGGTAGCCTTTGTATTCAGAAGTGTGCTAGGAATGCAAGAATGTACTGATCTGGACACTCACGTTGCAATTAGCGGGCATTATGTTGAACACTGAGAGCAAAAAATCTACGAATGAGCGTCATGTGACAATTTTGAAGTCCAGCCATAAAAAATGAAAGAAGAGCATGCTGGGAATTCTACTATGGACATTTAACAAAAAGAGGATGCAGCATAAAGAAAAGAAAAACAGGGGCATAATGGCAATTCTACCATGAGCACGAAGGGACAGCAGCTTTGGAGCCGGTTGACTTGTGGGGTACTTAGCTAAGAAGCAGAAACCTGGAGACTTGCAAAGAGGGTTCAGCTTAAATTGAGGACGATGCAGCGAGCGATGGAAAGGAAAATGGTAGCTGTAACCTTAAGAAACAAGAAGAGAGCAGATTGGATCAGGGAACAATTAGGGCTTAAGGATATGATAGTTGAAATCAAGACAGGAAAATAGACATTGGCCGGGCATGTAACACATAGGTAGGATAATCACTGGTCATTAAGGGTAACTGACTGGATTCCCAAAGAAGGCAAGCGGGTTAGGGGAAGAAAGAAAGTTAGGTGGGCAGATGAGAAGTTTGTGGGTATAAAATGGCAGCAGCAAGCACAGGACCGAGTTGACTGGCAGAACATGGAAGAGGCCTTTGTCTTGCAGTGGACGTAGTCAGGCTGATGATGATGATGATGATGACTTGTGGGGGGGCTAGGTGCACTCAATTTCTTAACCCCCTCTATGAAGCTAAATGCCTTGTGTGGCTGTTATCCATATGAAATTTCTTTTTCCCCAGTTACTGCTGTGTTGCTGTGTTTTTTGAAACGATTGACAGGGCCACAAGGAGCATTCTTTCAAGGGTGTACCCGCAAGAGCAGCAACACTGGACATGGTTCACCTCCTATAGGTACTTACAGTCTCCTTCCATAGCCTCTCAACAAGAAGAGAACAGAAAATTTTCGTTCTGCCTAACAAAAAAATGTGGATAGAGGTATACAAGAGGCAGCGCTACACACTAACATTGAAAATATCACTTCGAGAATTTATTGGAACTTTTAACGCTGTCAATATAAGTGCAACCAACCAAAGCTTAAGTAAAGAACTGCATTGTGGTGACATCAAGTGGGCACCAGCAATGAGATGGTTTTCATGCAAGTTTACCTAAAATCTTCATAAAAATGTACATCCGGATTTCAGCAATGTTAAAATGTATCCATTACCAGTCCCTCACTTAAGAAATTGCTGCAGATACCCAAAATGAATGCTGATGATGGCGCGAAGCAGTGTGCATCGAATAATGAATCGAGGCCTTCTATTTTGTTCTTGGTACGTCATACGCTTTGAATGATGAGTGTTTACACATCGGCCTTCTATGTGGCCTTTTATTTTGGCCTTGTTAATATGGCCTTTTATTTTGTTAGTTCTGATTAACTTTTGATAACTTTTCTATTCACAGATGTTTTGTTTATACACATTGACATTGCCGCTTTTATAGTGTTGTGGCCATAAATTTTATCCTGGTTAATAGGCTTTTATTTTGTTCTCGTTAACTTTTTACTCTGTGATATGTTTTGATTAATGGGTGGTTAAATGTCGGTGTTCTTAAGATGTTGTGGCCTTTTGTTTTTAAAACCATATGTGTGCTATGTACGCTCAGTAGAGGGTACCTGTGCTTTGACAAGGAACAATGGTGAGGCGTGCCCCGATGAGAACAGCCGAACAGTGTGCGACCCTAAAGTGCTTCGCCCCTAAAAGTTCTGACATGACATTTTCAACATCTAATGTTTTAGGGAAACAAAGATAGAGCACTGCAATTCCAGTCTTATCATATGAGCTTTCTCAAGAAACATATGAGCTTTCTCTGGCTAGCACTCGACAACATTTTTTTCATTTAGATTCACTTAGCCTCGATCTGGGTCTGAGTGAGACAAAGCATGAATGAGCTTGCTCACCCTGTCGTTTCAGCCACATACAAAACCCAGAAATGTTATGCCTGAGGATAGCTCAGTGATTTATGGCTGCCAAACTCACTTAAAGCCCAGATTAAGCAGAGCAAAGTTAATATTGCCACGTTCCTTTCCTCAAGTTTTGTTATCACCCTCGTTACAATACGTTCAGTACAAACCACGCTTACGATGTTCGAAAAGCTTCGAGGCTGTAGTAGATCATTTTGTTAAGATTACGCCCACTTCGTGAACATTACAGATTCTTCTGGAACCTACGGCCCTGCCAGATAACTCTAGAATATTCAATGGCAAGGGTATAAATGCCGACGTGCTTCACCGCTTGTCAGTTGATTGACGGCCGACGCCCTGCTCACCGCTATCAGTGCCAGTGCCTTGCTGTAATCTGACTCCTTTTATGCGGCTACAAGTTAGGCCCGAATAAACAGTTTATTATCCGACCATCCAGTCTTCTGCCTTCAGCCACGTCAGGATCCCGTAACATCTGGTGGAAGTGCAGCTTCGTTCATGTACCGGACGCTCTCGTCAAGCCGTGAACCCAGCCTATGTCGCGGAGAAGACACCAACGCCAACCAGGAGCAGTGAACAAGCCACCGGCAGCAAGGTCTACCACCGGAGTACGGGCCACTACAAGACAAGGCGCAGAAGACCAAGGCCATGACTTCGACTGCGGGGACAATGACAACTGCTGTGTCACAGTCCGCGATCGTCATGCATCAACGCAGGGTACCACGAACATACCACGGGTCATCGTTCGAAGACCCAGAGACCTGGCTAGAGACATACAACTGCGTCGCCCCCCTCAAACACTCACTGTGACACTGAAAAAAAGCTCCATCACGTGTACTTCTACCAGGAAGACACCACAAGGACCTGGCTGGAAAATCCGGAGTCTGTGCTCCAAACGTGGGATGTCTTCTGCAGCGCATTCCTGCAAACATTCGCGAGCGTCGCACGCAATGATAGAGCCGCCACTATGCTTGAGAACCAGGCTCAGCTACCAAATGAAAATGTTGCCACTTTCACAGAAGAAATGACCCACCTATTCCATCACACTGACACGGACATGCCTGAGGAGAAGAAAGTTCGTTTCCTCATGCAAGGGGTCAAACAGGAGCTCTTCACGGGATTGATGAAAACCCACCAAAGACCATCCAAGAATTCCTCGCAGAATCGACAGCTAATGAAAAAACGCTCAAAATGTGCACACGACCGTTCAGCCGATGCGCGGCTCCAGGCTATGCAGAAATACTACCACTATGCTCCGATGACCTGTGCGAGACCACAAGGGCTGTTGGGCGCAAAGAACTTCACGGAATGTTTCTGTCCTGCCAGCCTCAAGTTTGGTCGATTTCAGACAACGTCAGAGAAGAAATTCAGCAATCAATTGGTATCCCTGAGACATCGCAACCGTAACCTTAAATGTAACTTAGAAACGTGGCAGCTTGGGCTAGTTGGTATGGCATGACGACAGTTATAGCGCGAGAACAAAACAACAACACAGAGATAAGAAGGACACAAAAAACACGAGCGCTCGTATCTTTCTTATCTCTGTGTCGTCGTTTTGTTCTCGCGCTATAACTTTCGCAGCCTTGAGCCATGAAATAGGCTGCTGCTGCCCGATGCTATACTCCACGTCCACGTCAAAAGGCCGCGCCGCCGACACCATACCGTGCATTCGCCGGCCAGCGCAATGCTCCGAGAAAAACCGGCGTGCGGCACGCCCCCGACCACTAGCCTTTCTACTATCACTGCGGGGAAGCTGGCCACACCTACCACTGCTGCCAGTACTGCCAGATGGGACTACGTGGTTTCCCCATCGACGCGCCACGTCCACAGTACAGTGAAAGACCACGTGACATCGTTGACTATCTTGCCGGAACGCAGAGGACACCCCGAGGATCTTCTCATTCACCTTCACCCAGCTGCTACATGTCTCCACACCATCATCAGTACAATGACCCAAGTCGGGGCCGGTCCGCCTAGCCCGAACCAGGAAAACAAAGGGCAGCAACCGATGGAGGTGCGGTTCCTGCACGACGAATTGCCGAAGATCCTCCGCTGCCGAGGACACCGCCACGATGAAACTTCAAGAACCCGCTGTCCCCTCAACATAGCCCCAACGTCGAAACTTCGCGAACAGAAGTAGTCCTTATTATGCAAGGTCGGAACGGTGGTGCGAACCCTCGTAGCCGTGATCCGAGGCCGCGATCCAACGCCAGGCGACGAACGCCAATGCCAGGCGACGAACTAGCGACCTCGACATCCTCATCAACGCCCACAGCGTCACAGCTCTCGTCGACACTGGAGCTGATTATCTCACCATCAGTGGGACTTTGTCGCGAAGTTGAAGAAAGTTAGGACCACTTGGGGAGGCCCTGAAATCCATACAGCCGGAGGTCACCTAGTCTTGCTAAACACTAACCTCCAAAATATCTTTGCATGGTGCGAGCAATGGAAGATGAGGTTAAACACAGACAAAACCGTCTTTATACGAGTAACCAACAAAAAAAATATTTTGCCATTTACATATCAATCTGGTACCCAGACACTAGCTCAGGTTGTTGAGTATAAGTACCTTGGTGTCAC